CCCCAAAACCCCAAAACCCCAAAACCCCAAAACCCCAAAACCCCAATTCAATTCATAATTATTGATTTTAGAAATGGATGACTTTGATGAATGTATAGGGGCTCCCGACAACCCTCTTGGAAGAGTCCTATTTGATAAGGATAAATTCATTGATTATTTTATTACAAGTAGAAAATCAGCACTTGAGTGCATGAAAGAGGAGTCCAAACATGGTAATTTGGCTGAAGAATCAGGAAGTAGATTACACTCCTGGCGGGTTTTACTGGGTCTTATACCTTCAGAATCTAATCCTGAGGCCTGGGTGAGCAAGATTAGACAGCATAGAGCTAGATTTTATAAGATAAGTGAGAGGTATTCTATTGAGAAAACTAAAGATCTTGACCCAATGTCATTTAACCCCTTAATGGCAAGCAAAAACAACCTTTGGAGCGAGATGATTGAAGATAAAGATATGAAGGATACAATCATGAAAGATGTTGTCAGGACATACCAGGAGTACAAATTTTTCCAAATAAAGGAGGTAAAAGACCGCATGGTCTCTACCTTATATTTTTGGGCAAAGACTTACCCGATGTATTCCTACAGACAAGGCATGAACGAGATTATAGCAGTTATATACTTTGTCTTAGCATCGGAGAAATCAGGTTCATATGGTAAAATTGATCAGCTTTCGGACTCTGAAATTGCTTCAGACAATGAAAAGCTCATCAAGTTCTTGTATAATAAAAAGCACATGGATGCTGATGTGTTCGTAATCTTCGAGAAAGTAATGAGTATGGGTATAAAAGAACTCTACGGAACAATTGAAGATCTAACAAGTATTAAAGGAAAATTAGATAGCTGTGTACGTTTTAGCTATATCTACCACTAACTTTCTCTAGGCTAAAGATAATAATGACAGAATGTTCAAGTGGAAATATGAAATAGAGCAAGAAGAAAAAGGCAGAAGAGCCAAAATAGAACAAATTTATGATGAAGAGAGAAAGAAAAGTGCTGTCATGAGACGGTGCAACCGGATCTATCATAATTATCTGAAAAGAGTGGATACTGAAGTTTATAAACATCTTGTTAGTATCCGTCTTGATCCTGAACTTCAGCTCATGAGATGGCTCAGGTGTATACTCAGCAGAGAGTTCAACATTGACATGACTCTTAGTCTCTGGGATTACATCTTCTCTGGAATAAAGGATGAGTACAGAGAAGATAGGGATTTTGGAGATATGTATTACGCAGAGAGTTACTTCGATTCTACCGAGGATCCTTTGATAAACCTTGATTATCTCTGATTAGCCATGATTGAGAATATCCGAGATAAGATCTATAAACAGGAAATTGAAGACTGACTAGAAGTGTTTTTCAATTATCCTGAAGTAAAGGGAGCATCAAGGCTTATTTCTGTTTCTGAAGAAAAATTAAAGAAGTTATAAAGAGTGGTACAAAAATACAAAGTAGTTCTGGTAGCCTTAAGTCAAAAGATAATAATCTCAAAGATGATTTAGAAGAAGCCAAAGCCTCTTCAACCGAAGAAAGCACCTTCTTCAGCAAGTCTGATCTAAAAGAAGACAAAATAGAGGAAGAAAAGAAAGAAACAGTGTCTGAAAAACCAGCTAAAAGAGATGTTTCCACCAAGAAATCAGATATGTTTTATGACCCTTTGAGTAACTTCAATTCAAAGAGCAAATTTCCTTCAAGAGGGATACCTGCTGCCAAACCAAAGAAGAATGAGGAGGAAGAAGAAGGATTTGTCTCAAAGCGGATAAGTGATATGAGGACTCCAAGTGATGATAGTTCTACTCAAAATACTCGTTCTCATCATCACACCACTTATGAAAAAGATGATGATAACTGCCATGATTATGGAAGCCATCATCATAGCATGTCCAAAAATATCACTGGAGAGAAGGTCATTGGCTCTATTATGGGCGGATGGAACATGATCAACCAGAAGCGGAAGGAATATGTAGACCCTCTAGTCAAGAAAGGTCTTAATAGTGTCCAAAGCCAAATCAATAAGAGAAATACTAATAATACTGAGGATCTCCAACAAAACAGAGTTTTGAAAGAGAAATTATGAAAAGTTAGTGATTTCCTCAAAAAACTTCGAGATGGCAGTAGCTACGAAGTAGCTAAACGCCAATTAATCAATGTTGATGTAGAAGAGGAGGAGCTTAGTGATATTCAGGCCGAAATAGAGACTATGATCCAAATGACCTCTTCTCATTCAAATGATGATTAAACAATAAACTTCATTCAATGATGTGTTTAAAAAATGGGGTTTTGGGGTTTTGGGGTTTTGGGGTTTTGGGG